GGCAATCTACAAGCAGTGTAGATTGCCATTACTAAACATTACCAATGCCATGCCATTACTAAACATCTACCAATGCCATGCTGATGTAACCTTCCCAGGATGCAACGCTTGGGCACATTACATAATTTGTGCCAAAGAGAACCAGGAAGTAGAAAAAAAAATTGTAAGAAAAACAAAAATATGTTTGTTAGCTAATGGGGGTTAGGGGGTCCAAGAAAACAAACTGTACAACTTTGAACATCGTTTTTGTTTTGATGCACCTCGTGCATGCTATATTTATTAATCCAACTGAAACAATTCTGGCTGAAGTGTTTGATTTTCTTTGTGGATGCAAAAAAATTAATGTTTGTATGGAAATAACTAGACAAAGTCTCTTCCCATAATAAAAAGTGGGAAGAGTATGTCTTTTATAGAATGATGAGGAACATTTTATCTTGCCATATATGTTGACATCCACTGCTGCTTCACATGGTTACATACCTCAATTAGATTGGGAATGCTTAAAGGAGAACTATGAGGTGAGTGAAAATCACTCAGCCTCATAGTTCGAGCCGACGTGTGACAATGAAACTGTCACACGTCGGCTCAATAGATCGGGAAGTGAGCGAACACATACCGTCGCTCACTCCTCGATCCTGGCCCTGCAGAGAGCAGTGACTGTCACTCACGGCTTCCTGCAGGGATTCCCCTGTCCGATTCTCCAGCACTGACTGACGGAACGGACGGGGGAGGGGGCAGGTACAGCTGGCTCTGCCTCTAGATAGGCAGAGCCAGTTGTCAATCACGCAGCTGGGTGGATCTCGACAGTAAAGTTGGGATCCATCCCGGCTGCGGCGGTCTCAGTATACCGCGAGCTGTGGCTCGCGATATACTGAGCTTTGAGTCACGGGAGGACGCTAGTTTGTGTCCTCCCATGACCCTTAGGAGAACTATGGGGAAAAGCAGTGACCCCATAGTTCTCCTTTAACACAGTCTTTGCATTTAAATTTAAAAAAAAAAGTGAACAGTTGTGGGTTATCTCACACCCTTTAAGACATTCAAGGCCTGCCCGATGATACATGAAGGCCCATGTTGATGTTAGTAGCCAAAGAAGAACAGAACATTTGGGACATTGATTTGTTCTTACGCATGATAAATTGTACATAACAGCTGTGGCTTTTCATAACCTAACTCACCAGTGCCGTACTGTGCTAAAACCGTTTTTCTCACATGGATAGGCTTTAATTTATATGCAAGTATAGCCGAGTCATGAGTATTTTCTTTTACTATGTTCCTTTAATTTAGTCTTACTGTCCTGCTTTTGGCGTTCAGCTCTGTTATTATAGCATAATCAAATACACCACAGCTATGCAAGTTTCCTTTTGTTTATTTTCCTTCCTAAAGACTTGTGAACAGAACTTGCCTGTAGGCATAGGAATATTTCCACAAAGGAGGCAATAGTAAAGTGAACTTGTACATAATCTTAATTGTTTTGTAACCTTTTACAGGAGTTGTGTGTTTTAAGATGTTCATGATATAATTTTACTTGGTGGTAAATTAAATTTAATGGAGCTTGATCTACAAACAATAACTGTAACTAAAAGGGCATCTTCACTTTAAAGAGTTGAAACACATACAACTCAAGGAGCAGTTTTAGCTGTAAAGTAACCCATGTTTAGTGACCCGCTTACCGCTGCTCCGTATCCCTGTATAGATTGAAGAGGAAGACAACACTTTTTTCTTTCCCTGCAGTTATACAGGTCTTGTATCTCTGCCCCGTTGAATCCTACCACACTTGTGATGACCACCTATGTACCACCTATACCTAGAGATCAGGCTTTCCCATTAAAGTCCTATTTCAGGTGTAGGCTGGTGAGTAAAGCTTAGCACAGAAGTTAAACTAAACCATTTTATTTAACTTGCCATCCTATCTAAAATACAGTTCATAGAGGCTGTTGTAAGCTTCTTGTTACCCCCATATTACAGTTCTCTAGCAATCCTTAGGTAGCAGCTGGGAAAATTTTATATTTGTTTTATTTTCCCTTTATTACAAACAAACCACAAAACCCCTTGGCTTCAAGGACTCAAATCAACGATTGTGAAAGCAAATATTCATGCAAAATCCTTAGGGACATGCGTGTAGAGTTCCTTGGTTAACCATCAATTGAGGGGGGGAAACACGCTGGGACTACTATGATGAATGGTCCCACCCTGAGTGTCAGGAAAGGAGCAAAGCTGGAGAAAGATGTGTAATAAAATTGCATATTAAAAATGTCACCATAAAAACATACACACTCACAATATGTACAAATACCCTAGCTAAATGAGCAAACTAAATATGTGATTTGTATCTGGCATAACCTTTTTAGAAGCCCCTGTGCAACACTGCATGCCTACAAAGATTGCTCAACTAGTGTAATCCATGTTCCAGGGCAATCTACATTCATAAAGCATGTCTTACTACATGACCGACAATAGTTTAAAATTGCTGCATATACAATCCCACATCAGATATGCATTGTGCACTTGAATGCAATGCAATCATGACAATGAGTGATCAGAAATCAAGCACAGCTCTTGTTGCACAAATCGGTAAACAGCCGTTTTTTGGTCAGCATCCAACTCCTTTCTGTTATGCTGAGTGCACAAACAATAAAATGTATTGTAATTTCGCCAATAAAACGTCACTCCTGAGATATTGCGTATGGGAGTCCTCAAAGATCTGCTTAAAACTTAGTCATGTTGCTGATACATGGAAGTATACCCTGCATCACTGTCAATAATGTCGTTAATTTAAATAAGTGCTGTAGCCTATACATCTCAATGGTGCTATGGAGTAGACAGCAAATGTTGGTCGGTTCTGAATCACGGCAGTCCTCAATACTTAACATCTAAGAAACATAGTATCCTATATGTGAGGCAAGGGGATATCCAAATGTAACTACTCAGTTTGCAATATCTTTAAGTAGCAATGACCAAAGTAGCAATTAAGTACTCGGATGTAGCCCTATTTAACTGTCCTTATATGATATGTCAAAATGTAGTCTCAAGTCCACATCCAAGGGGCTGCCAGGTGAGTAAAACAACCCCGACCGGTTTCATTGGTCAGTCCGACTGCTTTATAGTGAATTGCAACATGGGTGAATCTCTCCCTTTTTAATGTCCTTCATCCCTTCTTTCCTCACTAGCTGGTATTATTTATTTATTTTTTCTATTGCCCAAACTCGGCCAATAGAAGGAAATTAGTTCTAGCCAAGCAGAAAAGGAGGGATGATGAAATTGTATCCAGACCGACTGTGTGAGAACACACCTTCAAGTCTGATTTCCACTCAAGTTGTCACAGCAGTTATTTAGGGATTGCTAGAGATCTGTGATTTGTGAAAATAAATAATCAAGAGCTTACAGCAGCCTCTATGCACCATACTATTAGATGGTTTAGCAAGAGGCATGGTTTGGTTTATTTAAGGAAGCCAAGACCTTAGTAGCAGAATTAAATGGAATCAGAAAGGTGTACAAATGAGGGTTTGGTTCTTAGCCATGTAAAGGTTAGAGCAGACACCCTGTTGTTCCTTTTCTTAGGCAGAACTGTTTTTAAGTGTAAAATGGCTGTTTAATTTAAGTTGCCTGTACGGTTCATTTACCGAGTACTATTAAAGGAACAACCTGTTTCTCCTCAGTTGAAACCCAATTAGAAAACCTTTAAATATGCCTAATCTAAAATGTTGGAATCATTTCAGATTTAAGTAACTATTAGCCTCACAGTTTCCTCTTATATTAGCAATAAAGGGGAACTTGACATTTCTAGCGGCATATGGAAGTGGAAACTTTGTTCAGGATCTGGTAGTACATGGGCCATGTTACACTAGTGGTCCTGTTGCTGGTGGCAGCTTGCCAGCGATTGGATCGCTATAGTGTTGCTCTGCTGCTATTTCCTCAATGGTGACTGAGCTTCTGCAGTTTTTAAGCTCCGCAATGGAGCAACACCGTAGGAGCAGGTTGGTGCTCTTTTAAGCTATCCCTTTGTTCGTGACTTGCCTCTGTTTTGAGATATTTAATTTCCGTATCTCTTTATTAAAACAGACCTAACGTGGAAAAAAAGCCTTGAGGCTGCAATTACAAATGTGTCCCTCTTGACCCCTTCAAATAGTTAGCTGTGGTCCTGGAGGGTGGTTCACTTGAGTTGCAGTGGGCACTGCCTCTCAACTGTTCCATTTTTTAGTTGTAGATTTGTGTAGATGGAGTCTCAGTAACTTACCCTATAAAAAGACTACTTTATAAGTTACTTTTTGTAGCTATATAACTTCCGCTCATACAGCTAGTTTTTTTGTCTTGGGTCTCCTAACTGCTTCTGGAATTTTATTTTTACTCTCTCTTTCATATATGGTGGTGTTGACTTTCCTTCTGGGACTTGTGAAAGTGGAAGAGGTCTTTTCAAACGCTCTGCTAACTTTTCCATTACAGTCACATCTGATCTTTGGATTCTGAATCTTGATTGTAGAACCAACACAAACTGTACAGCACCAGCAAATAAATAGAACATCACACTATCATTACAACTACTTTTTTCAATTACATTTTTAAAAACTAAACTGGTGATAACAAAGTGGGATTTGAAAAATTTGTAGCTTCCATGTGTCTGGGAACCTCAGTTAAACCTAGAACCCAATTTTGCACAATATAGATCTTTTCTGTTATGTGTTGCTTGGTTTATCATTAACAGTTCAATATTTGATCTAAATTTTTAAAATCTCCATCTGGTAAAAACATTGAAGAACCCCATAGTAGCTAATTTACATAACCATAAACCGTATACCTTTTGTAAGGTTAACCATTCCTTTATCTTTTTTTTTTTTTTTTTTGCATTGCATGAACTTTTATGATTTCTAGAAAAATACTTGAAAGAGGGGGATAATGTGCATATTAACAACAACAATTTCAATTATAGAAAATAAGAAAAACAGTGATGTTTCACTTATCCCTGATTATTATCTTCATGGTTTTTCTTCTTCTTTGATGTATAGGAACTGATACCACTTATACTGTGCACTGCCTGCCTCCATCCAGAGCCTAAAGAAAGAGACCAGCTCCTGCATATACTCTTTAATTTAATCAAGCGCCCAGATGATGAGCAAAGGTACGTGCTTCTTTTAAGTAAGGTATTTTTTCTTCTGCAGGAACAGGCATATTGAGCCAATGATTAGTTATGTTCCATCCATCATTAGTCTGGGTGGAATACAAATGCATTTCATCTAATCAAAAAGCTGTAATAATTCCATCTTAAAATATGCAAATGTACCGAATGTTTCCGATGTGGAAAGGGCAATTCATTCTGTTAACATACATGTGTGGCAGTTACAGAAATTGGCTTTCATACATAGCATTATTAAGAACACCAGTTCATACCTCCTACATTATTATTATTATTCTTCTATAGATAGATTAGTGGTATTGAAACTGAACGTTGAAGAAAATACAATTTATTTTTATGCAATAAGATGATCTCTTTTTACTTTGATTAAATGCCCAGATCTAAAAATATACATTTTATTTTATGAGATTAATAAATTTTTTACTATTATTAAAAAAAAAAATTCTCCTTTTTCAGGCAGATGATTTTAACTGGATGTGTGGCCTTTTATTATTATTATTCTTCTATAGATAGATTAGTGGTATTGAAACTGAACGTTGAAGAAAATACAATTTATTTTTATGCAATAAGATGATCTCTTTTTACTTTGATTAAATGCCCAGATCTAAAAATATACATTTTATTTTATGAGATTAATAAATTTTTTACTATTATTAAAAAAAAAAATTCTCCTTTTTCAGGCAGATGATTTTAACTGGATGTGTGGCCTTTGCCCGACATGTTGGCCCAACGCGAGTTGAAGCAGAGCTTTTACCACAGTGTTGGGAACAGGTTGGATTTCCATCTGCCATTAATTGAACCACAAACCTTAAACTTGTGTTTATAAATCTACTTCAGTTTCCTGCTTTTATATTTTGCATTTTTTTAAAATATATTTTTCATGTCCTATCTAGTTTACTTTCTTCTAAGACAACACAAGCATTATGTGCCAGTCATTAAGTGCCGGGTTTATTTGGCAGGTTTTCAGGCATGATATTGTTGGGAATTTGGCAAGAAGAATATAACTTACTTTAATCTTGTTTGAAGAAACATGTGTGGAATAGACATTGATTATTGCGACATAGGTTTTCTGCTTGTTTTATTACTGTAGATGGTACCCAGTTCTGTATTTCATTGGCTGTGCAGTCATTTTACGAATGTTGTTGTCAAAACAGTGACTTGCATGGTGCAATTTTATCAGATATTCAACATAAGGAATATAAGTAAGGACTCCAGTTCAGGTTAACAGTAAGAGTCTGTAAAGACCCCCACACTGAAACCACCATGTGTCAGTTGCAAAAGATAGAAACTAGAGTAAAGCATACCTTCATGCTTCATTATTTCCTTATTTTATTAGACTTAATATAAACCTAGTATTAACTGCCACTCTGATCTCACAGCACAAGTATTGTTATAATAAGCTGCAGTGTTACCCAGTGTCCCTTGCAGCCCATGTACTGGTATATCTAATTAACCGATCAAATGGCCATGCATTTAATTGTTAGGCTAGAGCTAAATTAATGATTTCTAACATCTTTCTTTTAAGAGATTTAAGCTGGCCATAGAGGCTGAATAAAAAAAAAATCTAATAGATTCCTCCACCCACTATAGTGGATGGACAAATCTCCCACGGAGCTATTTGGATTCTGACAGTGGCCGGTAAGCTGCTGTCAGGATTCCCCAATAGCGATTGCAGTTGCTTGGCTGCTTATACTGTTCGGCTATTCATTTTTCACCCGTTTCCTTCAATTTTCAATGAGTGAATTTCAGCCAGTTCATGAAAAATTTGCTAAGTGTATGGCCAGCTACACATTAGATTTTTAGTATCCCCCTACAAAGTAACCTGAACAAGTAGCATCCAGTTGTACATGAATAGCGCATTGTGCAATAATGCTACTACATGCTACTTGTGTAGCCATCTCCATAGGATCCATTTGTTCTGTGTGTTTTATAGAAAAAGAGGATATTTCCCCAGTGGGGTGTGCAAATGCCCAAAGGGAGAAAGGAAAAATTATATGAGTGCTCCTGTATGTCCTGTATGGGCGAAACATGTTGGGACATACAGGAGCACTCATATAATTTCGAAAACAAGCAACTGTAGATCTTATAACGGTACGGTACTGTCACCGGATGGTGAATGCATCCGCATATGTTTTATCTGTGATTTTCCCTGACCTTTTTGTTTTTTAATAATGTTCTAAACGATATTTCAAATAAATGTTTTTCTAAGATTTTATCTCTGAGGTCTGGGATTGTTTTCTAAAAAGCCCCTTTTCCTTTCTCCCTTTGGGCATTTGCACACCCCACTGGGGAAATATCCTCTTTTTCTACATTACAACCCGGGGTGTGAAACTCCCAGTACCTCTATACTTCATTCGCAACACATGTCTACTAATGTTATTTCCTGTTCTGTGTGTTTAGTGATAATTTACTAAACCTAGCAATTTATTGTTATTTAATTTTTTGGGGATAGCTCCTGTGTAGTTCTAGCCTGTTCAGGTGACTGTCTGCAAGTGGTTACATTGTAGTAGCAAGAGATTAAAATCACAACTGTAGTTTAGTCTTTTTTAAAACGATAGGTGAACCTTAATTGGGTATGGAGCTTTGATCTCTATGATCATACAACATACGTACATAATTTCATGTTAAAATGTGTTGCTTTGTTTGCTTACACATATGTACATACCCGAGAGTAAAGTACAATTCAAAGTATTTATCCCAGGATCACAAAACTCACTGGTTACATAAATTTTTCATCAGCTGGTATGGCCAACGGCTACACTGCAAATGTACTTTTAAAACATACAATGCTTGGTGTGACGTTTTTAATCACGCTGTTGCTTTGGAGTATAAAATATTTGGTACCATAGGATAAGAACAAAATAGCAATTGGAGTTTTAGAATCCATCACATTTAAAGCCTCATGTACTTGGAAAACTGACGTTTTCATTATGTAGCAGTCCTTTACCATTGTATACATTTATGGGAAGGCAAACCGTTCCTTTGTTCCTTATTTCCGAGATTAATTCTAAATATGTGAAGACACGTACGCATAGATTTTACACTTCATTTCATATTACTGATTTTTTTTCTCTTTCATCTAGTCCTTGTTATTGATGAAAGCAATCTACTTTTTTTTTCTATCGGTCTTTTGTTGGCCTTTGATCTATTGTACATTATTAAATAGTTTCACCTAGCTGTTAATTAGCTTTTTTGTTTGTTGATTTTCTAGCAGTTGCTTTAGGTAAACTGCATAGGCAATAATAGATTATGTCTTTCAGATTAATCACAAATATCCAGAAAGAAGACTTCTTGTGGCAGAGTCATGTGGAGATCTGGCACCTTACTTTCCTGTGAGTCTATTTTACATATTTAAAGCTAAACCAAAGGCAGATATGAAATATTAGTACAAAAGAATAAAAAAATAAATAAAAAATCTATTTGACTATTTCCAGGCATTAGTTTCAAAATGTTCAATAGGTCAAGGTAATAGTAGATAGAGAGCTGAATGGGACAGATAGTGACTCCTCTCTCTGCTCTGTACAGCTCCTTTACAGTGTTTCAATTAAAGCGAGAGTCTGAACGCAAACACCTTCTGCTGTGCTATTTCTTTAGAAAACCCATAATGTTCTATGACACCAGTGTTGAAGGTTATAGCCCATTCAAGCAAACTTACTTTTTGTTGGTTTACTAGTTCGTATAACATTTTTCATTTGGAAGAATGATGGGTAGGAAACCATCCCAAAAGTATACACTGAGGAAAAGGAGCAGACTAAGAAATATCGA